TACGAGGACTTTCTTTTCTAAGATGCCAAATATAATACTTTCTAAGGATAATTACGATTAATTTAAGGCAGAAAACAGACGACGGTGTCGGTGACCTAAATCAGGAATACTCGCACAGGGTTAACTGGCACGCTGTTCTATTGATGTGTCTGCCCCTCTACGTTAAGACGAACGTTACCAGAAAAAAACCAAATGATAACAGTTTGATGACAGTTTATCTTCTCTGAATTATTTTAATTACATCTGTCATTAAAGTAAACCATATGTATGGGGTAATATGAACGTCGCATTTCTACTACCAACGTAAGTATAGATCAGTACATCCAGATGAAGCTGAGTAGTCAAGCGACATTCCACGATTGCATTGTGGGAATCTAAACATTGCGAACGTTCCCGTGTCGCTGAAAACTTGTGAGTCGAATTGACACATTTTAACCGTCGTAAAACATAAACGTAATGTTTCCACCAGTGATGTTTGCTGCGTGAAGCAACTGCAAACCAAGAAACGGGATGCAACGGAGTAGTTTACTGTAGGAGGCCGTACGAGGTGATGACAACTGACATGCATTGTGACTTCGCTTACATTGTGACGTAATGTAAAATGGTTCGACTACGAGGGGGCACACTAGAATGGCGCAGTGACGGTATAACGTCATTCAATTGTTTCGTCATCAAAAAACTATACCTTAATTGTCTGATAATGTTTTGTTTTTTTATTGTTCTAACCGCTAGGCATCTTAGAATGTACAATATTCAATGCATTTGGACTAATATTGCAGTTTCATATGAACACATTAATGAACAGCAATTTAATTCAACCTTATAAGTAAAATTGATAATATTAATGAAAATGATTTTTATGTTATGAAATATATATGCACACATATTTAAAAGAATTGTCTTGTTCATTGCATATTTTTGTGTTATTTTATAGACAAAACAATGATGTATATTGATTGGCCAGGTGCGTTTGTCGGAAATTCATATTCAATTAAATAATATTGTGATGACAGGATAACTAAATCTCTTTAAAAATTGTTTAAAAATATATAAACCATGTCATGTCTTAATTTGGACAAATCTTACATCCAAATTCTAATACATAGTTCAATACATAAAAGCTATCTTCTTGCATCTTTCATTGCAAACTTATGAAGAGAAATAACTACATAATCATAAACAAAGAAAATTCTTATCCCAAACAAAATATTCGGGTGTTGTGAAATATTATTTTTCATTTACGTTAAATTGGTGCCAAACAGGTGTGCGTGTTGCTCACAATAAGATACACAGTCAAACCGTCTAATTGTTGATATATTCAGGACACTATTTAAATGGAAAAATCAGTCATTTTATGTTTTGTCTAAAGAGTGTTGAATTCTGACATAGAAGCCGAGACCTTTTATACAATTAATAGAAATTAGGTGAGATATATACTAATGAGCATAGCATAGTCGTCTTTTTCCGACGTCATGCAATGATGTCAACTAAAATGTTGTATTATTTTCAGCAATTTCATTACATTTGAAGATATCGCTAGTACTCTGGTAATAACGATGCAAAATTAGTCAAAATGCATCTACACAAACAGGAGAATATGGGAATCTAAGAACTAACCTATATATCGGATAGGGTAATCGAAATCGCTATTACGTGATTTCACATGTAGTACGTTGTCATCTTTTCTACCAAAACGTATCCGCTCACATTGGGGAACCTTTATTTGGAATAGTTCGGTTCACCGTGAACAAAAATTACCGAAAATGTAGCGTCCGTATCCACAACAAATTCTCTCCATGTGATCTGAGTTACATTGACCTAGTGTTAAGCATAACGGAGTTATGCCCCCTTATCATTATACCTGTATGACCTTTCTGTCGTCGTTTGACATCATAGAAGAAAATCCATTTTTTGACATTTATTGCGAGTCATTTTTAATGTTGAGCATATAACGTTATGCATAAGTAAAAAACCCAATTCACATACACTTATGTCGTTCAGATATCAGGCTGTATTTTCTTTGCTCACACTTTCCGTAAAGATGCCAAACTAAAAAATTCGTAGCACAGTGCTTTTATCGGTACGCGATAAAAAGCGGAGAAATTTACTGTTTTTTAACGCATAACAAAAATTTGGACAACATTTAGCAAGGTCTATTTCTCAAATAGTCTGTCGTACAGACCCTGAAGCAAATATATCCAAGAAAGCCCACGCAAGTCTAGAAAATGTGGCAAGTCTAGATTTCCTCAGCTTCTGAAAATGAAGAAAGTCTCAGGGCTCCTTTTCATTATATATATTATTTTTTTTACTATGAACATTTTTCAGTAAAATATGTTCATTTCAATGACTAGTTGTTAGTCTATTTCTCAAACTGCCGAGGTAGTTGCACTTATATTTATACCAACGGATAGGAAATTTGATATTCTACATTTCTGTGTAATTTTATAGCCGTACGTAGATCCAGGACCACGCGAGCGCAATTCTCGCACGTTAACTTTTCAAACCGTATGAAAATGTGCGCCTGAAAAAAACCCTCAGCAGCCAGGGGGGGTAACACCACACTCACAATATTCCAGCTATATGGCGCAGTTTGTAAATAATTGAGTCTGGACCAGACAATCCAGTGATCTTCACGGGTACATATCACAGAGGCTGGAGTCAGTGAGATGGCCCTAAAGCAGCTTCCAAAAATATTTCTCTTACAGAAGTCTCTAGGTTTCTTGTAGCACCTTTGTGTGTATGTTTGTTGTTTAATGCCGCACTCAGCAATATTCCAGCTATATGCCGGTGGTATGTAAATAATTGAGTCTTGCAAGATTGAGATTGACAACATGAGCTTAGATCGACACAATTGGGATATGATGACCTGTGTCAACAAAGTCACAGAGTCTGACCACCCAATCCTGTTAGTCGCCTCTTACAACAAGCATGGATTACTGAAGGCTATTTCTAACCCGGATCTTCTTGCATGAGTGAGTATGCTAGGTTTAAAGATGCTAAGCGTTGAACAGTGTTCCAGTTCTATAACATCATGTCAGCTTGGTGTTGGTATGTGTACCACCTATGTGAAACCCATGAGCTTAAGTGTGGCTCTGATTAAACCTTGAAACAAAATAAGGTATAATATGTGATAAATGAAAAAAATAATCTTAAGACTTCAAAAGATATTTCTCTAACAATCATCTTGTCTGAGCAGCGCACAGAGCATACTACTATGAAAATACATGCCCTATAGAAATGCATATACTATTATTATTATCATTATTATAAAAAACACATTGCACAGTAACATGCAGCACCTTAGCCAAATGGGCCACCAAGGGCAGATAACTCTGTTATAAAACTTAGCTTTATGAGTTCTCATGACAGCATGGGTGGAAATAACCCATTGCCCGACGTCTGAGTCCTGTGTTTTTTTCTGTCAGGCAAGCAAATTTGTATATTACACTGTACCGGTGTCCAGTTGACTTTCCAATGTTATTTATGTTGTTTATTTTAAAAAATCAACAAGAAAACGGCCGGTATAGTGGAAAAATTATCAGGGCAAGTGATTTACATGTGCCACTGTAACGGAGTACACTAGCAATTTTAAAGTTATTTCCACCCCTGCACCTGAGTCCACCATCTGTGGTGATTGCCATTAGTGCTGACAGACCAGGGATCACAAGTTGGTCTAATAAATGAAACGTTGTTCATGGAAACAAGACACAAATAATTCATTCCCCAAAAAAGTGACTAATTTCTGAATACATCAAAATTGCTTCCATAAATGAGTGTAGGTGCTCTTTAACATATGAATACACTCGTTAATATATTATGTGCATCACAGTATTGCAAAGGGTGTGACAAAGAGTTACTGAAATGTCTGACTACTTGACCTACTGGAAGTTTGACATCCACGCTGAAATCTTGCAGTGCAAGTCCTAGATGCCAGTTTAAGCTATGTGATCTGCTTCAATGCTGAAATCCTTTGATGCAAGTTTAACATGCAACTGCCATGTGATCGCTGACATGAATGTGTCATGTGACCTGCTGAGTCAACGTGTCATGTGACCTGCTGAGTCAAATGTGTCATGTAACCTGATTTATTACCCACGTGGTCAACGTATGGGTAGTTGCATACTAATCTTGTACGTCACACGTGTGTCGTATCGCGTTGACCTGTGTCGTAACGACTTGACCTGAGATTCTAACGATTTGATTGGATAACCGATGACCTCTCAATTAGGTCACATTCTGACGTAACTATTTTTTCATTCATAACAAACACGTGAATTCATTCATTCTACAACTTAAATGCATTGTGGGAATGTAAACATCGCGAACATTACCGTGTCGCTGTTTAATTGTGAGTCGAACTGAGACATTATATCCGTCGAAAAACATAAACGCAATGTTTCCACCAGTGATGTTAGCCGAATGAAACAACTGCAAACCAAGAAACGGGTGCTACGGAGTAGTTTACTGTAGGAGGCTGTAATGAGGCGATGACAACTGACATGCATCGTGGACGTCGGCTACCAAGGCAGTGGACGCCATTACAGTGTGATGTCATGCAAATATTGTACTACAGTACAAAACTCTTCCGCAAACCACTTTATGAAACCGGTTTCGGTTTTGAAACCAAAATATTAACAAAAACGCTATTTTGTCAATTTAATGCATGTAAGACGGGTAATAAATAAAATACCACACTCGGTCTCATTACATACGAATTATACAAAACTTCGTGACCTTCCTATGTTATCTGACCTCGCAGATAACATAGGAAGGACACTCGTTTCGTATAATTCGTATGTAATGAGACCGAGTGTAGTATTCTCTATAAGCCAAATGTGTCATGTGACTTGTAGCACCAAATGTGTAAATCTGACATTAATGCTGAAATCATGAAATGCAGATTCAACGTTCAACTGTCATGTGACCTGCAACCTAAATGTGTAAATGCGACACAAATAATGCAGCAGTCATGCGACTACAATGGGTACGTATGCACTCACCATCTTTCTTATAGTAGAGTATTTCCACTTGCTTCTCCTCAGATCCTTGTAAAGCCTCACGTATTTGGACTATCGCATAGTGCCCAGTGAGAGGTCCATGAAGAAAGTCGCATAATGACGATTTTTGCATGACCTCAGCACGAGAATATCCAGTAAGCTCACAGAATCCATCATTACAGAAGATAATGGGTACGGTTTCTACTTGAGCGTTGGCTATCACAAACTTCCGATCTGAAAACAAAACACAAAAAATTAATATTGCTCTAATTTTCACATAAAATGAAGAATTAAGGCAACTCACCAGCTGGATCACATCATCAGGCCCTATTACTTTCTCCACTAAACACATTAATGAACATCAAACTTTGTGATAATTGATGATCCAGAATAGAAATCTCAACAAAAAACATGGTCAGAACTATCAAACGTTCATTTTGCATTATGAATGAAACAATGCTAAATAAATCCAGCATTTTTTACTGGGTGAGTGAGTGAGTATGGTTTTACAGGCCTTTTAGCCATATTCCAGCAATATCATGGCAATTGAAGCAGAATTGAGCTTCACACTTTGTACTCATGTGGGGAATTGAACCAGGCCTTTTGTGTGACAAGCAAATGCTTTAACCACTAGGCTAACCCATCGCTCCCTCTTTTACTGGGGAAACTACTTAAACTGCATCAAGTCCAGTAGTCTCTCGTACAGACCCTGAAGCAAATATATCCAAGAAAGCCCAAACAAGTCTAGAAAATGTGGCAAGTCTAGATTTCCTCAGCTTCTGAAAATGAAGAAAGTCTCAGGGCTCCTTTTCATTATATTTTTTTTTTGTACTATGAACTTTTTTCAGTAAAATATGTTCATTTCAGAGACTAGTTGTTAGTCTACAAGTCCAGCTGTAAGGTAAAATATCAGATACAAGATACCAAAGAACTGATAAATGCAGGTGAATGAATGACAGACTAAAATTATTTTTCCTTCTTGACTTTTTACAATAAACCAAAGAAAAAAAGAAAATAGGACATCACTATTTGTGAAATTAATGGGTCCATGAAGTGTTATTAGCACTACAAAATTCATACACTTATGTTGACATAAATAGATATGATAGGTCAGACTGCTTTTTAGATCGGGACCGAAATTATATTACAAATATATTATATGGGTATTTATATATCCCATCTACATGCATGCTCAAAGTGCTTTGTTTGTTATCACATTGAAATATAAACTCCCCAAAATGAGGAGTGTAGATGTTCACATCCATGAAGGAGAACAAGTGATGTTAACAGTAATTTAAGAGACAGTGAAAAACCCATTTACATCGACAATGGTGTCAGCTTAGTACCTAGTTTTTATATGACAGCAGATCAACAGTTACAACATCGCCATGGTCCGTGATTTAATTGAAAGATGGCTGTCGTTCTTCTGGTTTATTATTAGAAATCCAATCTGTTTGCCCCTATGCATCAGAATAAAAACAAATCTTACACTGTCCCAAAGTAACGCTATCTGTTCCCTCTACCCCTCACAACTCTTAGAATGTTGTCCAATATTTACATGACAGCCCTAAATGTCAAATTGCAGCAGCTTCTTGATAATTCAATGTAACAAAAAAGTCTACAAATGTACATCATCCCCAAAAACAGCTTAAACAGCCGACCAAGATTCTGCTTCAATGCGAAATACATAAATGACGAAAAAGTATGGCTGAAGTGCTATAATTCATCTTTTTCTTCCTCAAGAACACTAGCAATCATTTGTAAGGAAATGTGTTTTCTGCCATTGGTAGCTCATTTCGAGATGCAAGTCATGCCCCGTTTGCATGTGGCTTCGGCCTATTTCCAGATGAGACCAGCCCTAACAAATAAGAACTTCTTTGCCGTATGTCTTGCGTACAACTCCTCATTATAGACTAGGAGTGCCCAGTTTTCTTGGCCACACCCACTCATCCACTCACTCACTCAATGTCTTTGAGCTATAATACTGACTGACTGAGTTTGGTTTTATGCCGCTTTTAGCAATATTCCAGCTACATCACGGCGGGGGGAACACCAGACATGGGCTTCACACACTGTACCCATGTGGGGATTCGAACCCGGGTCTTCAGCGTGACGAGCCAAGGCTTTAACCACTAGGCTACCCCACCGCCCCTTGAGCTATAATAAGATTCGCAGTATTTTATAAGAATATTTTAAGAATTTGTTTTCGATGTCTTTTATGTTTATGAAGAAACAAACGCCAAAACTCAAACCTGTGTAATTAAATGCCAACAATAACAATTTTTCAGATTACGTATTTTTTCAGGTACACAAAAACTGTAGAAAGCATTGAAATGAGTGACACTGTTCTGCACAAAATGCAACAAGCCTAACCCATTCTATGATCATCCAATCAGGAAACAGTCCTTGTTTATTGGGCGGGGCCTTATTTTTCAGTTACATTAAAGAAAAAAATGTCTCTGTTAGCCATGAATTTTAATGAAAGACCAGACTACAGAAACATTGGGCATCATGGCTAGTACAGTCACATGGTCCAATCATATGGCAGCAATAACATTGCCCGTGCCTTTTCAAGAATCAATTAGCACAGACTATGCATTATATCTGAACCGCTGTGCTTGATATACATGATCGTTTATTAAATCTAGTTTTGCTGTACATTGTCTGGTACAAACAGATAGACAACGGAATGAAATTAAGCCATTTTCTCCTGACATCGTTAATCATGATTTTCCACTGTAACTGTTGCAGGCAAACAGAGACTTCCTGAATTTTCAATTTTGATCAGGAGGATGATTTTTTGTGATCGTGCTGAGCGAACAGAAAATCCCATCTGTTTTCAGTGATGCCTTCATCCTTGTGCAATCACAGTAAACACATGGTATCATTGGCAGGGCTTCACCTGGCCTGTGCCCAGTGGGGAACCTACTTCATAATGTGTTCCCAGTAACCTACATTTGACCTACAAGGTGACTTAATAGAATAGACCCGTGGAGATCCAGGTTAGAATTGGTCTCTAGTAACCCATGCTTGTCGTAAGAGGCGACTAATGGGATTGGGGGGTCAGGCTCGCTGGCTTGGTTGACACATGTCATCGTATCCCACTTGCGCAGATAAATGCTAATGCTGTTGATCACTGGATTGTCTGGTCCAGACTCGATTATTTACTGACCGCTGCCATATAGCTGGATTATTGCTGAGTGCGACGTAAAACTAAACTCACTCACTCACTGTTGATCACCGGATTTACTGGGCGTAAAACTAAACTCACTCACTCACTCATTGTATGTTAATACTGAATAATTGTTGGTGTCAGTGCTGCAAATATTAAAGCTGTGTCAATAAAATTCACTGACTTGGATGACACATCTCATCACGGACTCTCTGGCCCAAATTCGATTATTTACAGACCCTTGCCATATAGCTGGAATATTGCGGAGTGGGCGTTAAAAAAACAACCAACCAACCTCCTTAATGGAATAGGTGGCAAAGTGGGTCATGTACCTGGATGGTGTGAAATAGTGCTCATGACATCAATCACTGGATTGGCACTGTGCAAAAGCCAATGATCACATGGTTAAAATATTCAAAGTGACACATTCTGAGATGTACAGTTCTCATCATCCAGAGATCATAATGAAGGTCAGATTCAAACCCACAATCAGAGGATCCTATCACAGTGTAGCGGCCATAAAATTTCCGAGTCCCATGCTGGGACTCGAACCACGGACCTTCTGATCCGAAGTCAGATGCCTTGTCCACATGAACAAAGAGGTTAACCCCGTCAGCAAGCTGACAAGGTAAGGATGTCATCTGTGGGATGACTCCACGCCCTGCTACAACAGCAAAGGGAAGCAACTATCTTCACAAATCACAGCAACTTACACAAGCAAGCCACCAAGACATCATCTAGTCTGTCATACAGACCCTGAAGCAAATATTCCCAATGCAGCCCATGGAAGTCTAGAATTCGTGGCAAGGAAGAAAATCTCTAGTCTCTTTTTTATTGTATCATATTATAATTTAAAAACTTTTTTTCTATAAAATATGTTCATTTCAGAGACTAGCTGTTAGTCTAGGCCTCATGATGATTACATGAAACTGGGATCAACGATCCCATCAACAAAGGGACTCAACTCTTTGAAATGTGTCGTTTACAAATGGATCACCTGCATCCTTGCTGGCATTATCCACACACATTCCCCAGATGGAAAAGAAACATCACACAAAGTAATCAGAGGTCACATAAAATACAAACTTCAAGGTTAAAAGGAATGAACAACATCCATCGACCATATTAAGGAACCATAATCAGAGTCCGGCTGTAGAGCAGCTGACAATCCCGACATTTTTATGAATGAAGCCATAAGACCATATGGTAAATGATCGTGAAGATCCAAGATTGGCAATATTGACCAGGCACCACTCAGTATAGTCACATCAACTCCAAGACCAAGGACTGATTCAAAGGTTAATAACATGACAGTGAACAAGAGTGATGACAGCAGCCTTACTCGCTACCTGGCAAGACGAGAGACTCAAAGCAAGATTTTCTCAAGGGCCTCTGGGTCCCTGAGAGCTAAACAGTTTCCAATAACTTCTTACTTGTACTGTGAAGGTTACCGAGTCAAGATTTCTTTCTAATGGCTCAGAACCCTGAAAATCTTTGATAACAAACAAGGTTTGAAACAGTCTCATCTGGAAATGTCAGAAGTTTTGGGGCTCACCTGGTTCAAATAAATGGAAACAATGAAATATTACCAATTGGAAAATTATTTCTAGTAATTCTAAGAAACACATTATTTGCTTAACACTACAAGACCATTTGCAGCTCCTTTTTGTATTGTCAGCAAAAGGTTCAAAGGAAACAAAATCTGAAAGGCTGTAAATAATTAAAACAGACATCCTGCATTGAATAATCTTTTGGTACAAAGTTACTAAAGTGTTCAGCACCCGGCACTACAAGGGTGGATGACTGAGTTTTGTTTGTTGTTTAAGCCGAACGCTGCAATATTCCAATTACCTGAAGGGGCAAGAACTAGCCCAGAAACGTTGTGAAAAATATAAATCAAGAAGTTGTTATCCATAAGATTTGTCTTGCATTAGCAATATTCCAGCTGTATGGTGGTGGTCTCTAAATAATTGAGTCTGGACCAGACAATCCAGTGATCAACATCATGACATCAATTTACTAAAGTGGGATATGAACGACATATGTCAACCAAGTCAGCGAG